GGCTTGTGATTCCCCTGCGATCCTCTCTCAGTTGCAGCACCACCATCCACCCAGTTGCCCAAACCAGAAACCTAGAAGTTGTCCTCAACTCCTCCCTTTCTAATATCCCCATACCCAATCTCCATCTTTTGAAAATTTTCCTTCTTAAGTATTTTTCCAACCCATCCACATTTCCATATCTCCACTGTTACTAATACCCTGTTCATCAGATCCTCGCCTTTGGGCGTGTTCAGTTTGAGGTACAGGTGGGACATTCAGGTGGAAGTTTAGATCTGGAGACATTAACATGTGAGGACTATAGATCAAGGGTGGAGACTTTGGAGATGTGGCCATTAAGGGAGTAAGCACACAGGCAATTCAGCCTAGAACACTGAGAGGCGCCGTCAGAGGGGCAAAAGGTATCAGGACAGCATTTTATGGAAGGAGAGGAAAAGGAGGTTTTCAAGAAAGTGGAAGTGGTTAGCACCTTTACATGCCATGGAGGGGTCAAGTGAAATGAAGGCTGAAAAGAATCCAGTACGGTTGGCAACACGAGGTCTCTGGGGACCGTGGTAGCGCTCTGTTGCTGCTGTAACCAAACCACAAACGTAGCAGCTTAAAACCACAACTTTACTGTCTCACAGTTTCTGCGAGTCAAAAGTCCAGCATGCTGTGGACAGATTCTTTGCTCAGAATTTCACTGGGCTAAAATAAAGGTATAGTGGGGACTGGGATTCTCATCTAGGGCTAGGGTCCTCTCCCAAGCTCACTTTCACTTCTCTGTCATGCTTTCTACCTGGTGTCCTTCACCTCCAAGCTAGCAGCAGCAGCTGAGTCCTTCTCATGCTTAGACTCTCTGACTTCTGCCGTCCTCTTCGGTTTTTAAGTGTGCATGTGATTACCTTGGGCCCACCTGAGTAATCCAGGATAATCTCCTTTAAAGTCAACTGATTAGTCACCTTGACTACATCTCTAAAGTCCCTTTTGCCATGTATTGTAGCATAATTATGGGAGTAAACACCAGCAGATAAAAGTCATGCCTACCACAACTTCACAAGAGGAGTGTNGGAGCGCCACCGCACTTCCCAAGCGGCGCACTATAGCAGTGCGCCACCGGGCCGGCCCAAGGTCCCACCTCTTAATAACCATCACATTGGGTATTAGCTTCCAACATATGAATTTTGGAAGGACACATATATTCAAACCATAGCAACATCTACCATTCTTTTTGACTGTCCTATATAGGAACACCTTTCTGTTATTAGAAAAATTATCCAAAACTGGGACATAAGGCAACAACGTGGCCATTTCAAAGATAAAACAAATATCTATGAGTCTATAATGATATAAATAAATCAAGGAGATGAATCACAGATGGCTCCTGGGATTTTGATGAAGCAATGGGATGGATGATGTGCAGTGAAGGAAGAGAAATCTAGAGAGGGGAAGTCATGTGTCCTCTTTGGAACAAGTTAAGTTCAAGATTCCAATGGGCATCTATTCAATGTCAAATCAGCCATTGGATAGGAGTCCAGAGCTCAGGGAGGAGGTCAGGTCTGGGTGGTCCATAGAACCCAAGATGTACAACAGAAGGGACACAGCCAGGAACCCCCTTCCACCCTGAACCCCCAGACACCCTCCACCCACTTAATCACTTCCCAAAAGGTCCCACCTCTTGATACCTCTTGCCTCTTCTTATCCAAACTTCTTGACAGAGTGGTCTACACTCACTTTTTCCTCATTTCCCAAACCATAATATGGCTTCCACGCCCACTATTTATTCAAACTCCCCTAGCAAAATTCCTATGACCTCAGGGTGCCAAATCAAGTGAATCTCTTCAGGCCGTATCTTATTTGACCTCTTCATGGCTTGTGATGATGCCAACCATTTCCTCCTTCTTGAAAAACCACTTTTCATCTTGTCCCATGATGATACATCTTTCTGGTACTTTTTTTGCCCCCCTCTTGAGTGTGGCTTCCTGGTGTTCTAGACCAAATCATCTTTCTCTCCTTGTCCTATTAATGAAGGTACGTGCTGGGGCTCCACGCTTGACATCCAGATTCACACTGGTCATCTCTTGTAGGCTTACAGTTTTATCAACCACAATATATTGATGGCTTCCAAATTTATGTGTCTAGTTCCTTCCATCAGGCTCCAAATCCAGCCGTCCAATGGCCTGCTGCATGTCTTCC